GCAATGTGAAGTCATAGATAAAAGGAAAGACTAGGCCAGAGAAAGGAAATGAAATAATATTAGTTATGCGAAGTCAATTACGGATGCAAAATGAACCCTATAATAGTGGTACCATATATGCCTTCAGTGATTATGAAAATGACTTAGTTAATTAATATTTATCAAACATTGAAAAAAATTCTAAAACTTTTTAATCTAATAATTTGTATAAAAAGTACAATTTTATCAAATATATTAAATTACATTTAATCTTATGTGATTATATTAATTGTAGCCTAATAAATAAGATAATTTGATACCATCATTATATAAAACACATACAAAAAATAACATAATACGTATAAATGTGCTTTAGTTACTTAGCAAATAAAATATTATTTGTCCATATAATAAGAAATAAATAATATAATAATAATGCAATGAGAAAAAGAAAACATGCTAATTTTCTTAGAAAAGTATGAATACCAATATTTACAAACAAAAAGTCTTTTAAAATTACTACTTTTTTGTTGCTAGCGTTTAAATATATGGATTTTGTAAGAAATTGGTTCTCATAAATAATGATCATATATCATTTATTTTCAATTTTAAATAATTAAAAAATCTAAAAATTTTTATACATGATGTATATTTTAATCATGACTCCATAATAATAAACTTTACAAATGACTAAAAGTATCGTCATATAATAGAATTCTAATTCTTCTGTTGTCAAATATTTTAACAAATGATATGTTTCTCAATATTTTCTCATTGTTTTGTTTTATCATTGCAAAAAATAGATTATATTTTGTTCATCTATATTCTAGATAAATAACACTGAAAATGAAATGTAGGAGTATCAAAACAGTTTTGAATGTTAGAATTAAGTTGTCACTTTTTATAGAAATATTTATAATCTCATTGGTGCATTGTGCTTGAACATATGTGCAATTACTTTAAAGGTACTTTCAGGTAATGTATGATGATTTCAAAAAATAATTTAGCACCTCGGGAGAAGTACATGTAACCAAGATTTTGGAAAGTCAACTTTTATTTGGAGATAAAATTCATTCCCACCTCGTGGGGCGATGCATCAATGGGGTAGACACCAATATATCTAGAGATAGAGGAAAATAGTAGTTTATATAGTGATAAAAAATATCAGCAATTTTAGTGACACCGTTAGTTATTTCATAGAGATATTTATCCTTTGTTAGTAGAAGTACCTTGTTATAAAGATCATACGATCATGAAATTTGACTATATGTTGGGTCAGAATGTTTCTTAAGTGTTTGAATAAAATTAGCATTTTGCCAAGTTAATTAAGAGGAATTTTGCAATAGTATTGATGTATTGGACTCCAACGACTATGAATGTTCTTATGAGAACGTGAAAACTACAATGAAAGAAAATCTTTGTGTTTTTTTTTATTAGGAATTTGTTTTTTTATATATATTTTTGTTGGGATTTGTAAAACGTTATTTCACTATTTCTATGTGAGAACATCATTATGTTAATTCTAAATAATAAAAAAATCACATATGAGTTCATTTTTTTTCTATATTTTACTTCATTTATGCAATGATATGTTTAATAAATAAATTAATTTATTTTACAAACTTACTCCACGAAAATCATTCGACACCACGTGCATCGCACGTGCACTTTACTAGTTTAGTTAAAAGTCCCAGTATCAAACAAAAATATAAACAAATTTTGTATATGGAAATGGAAAATATTTTCGTAATAGTAATTTATTATATTTATATCATGTAACCTGTCGTCATTATCGCCGATCTGATAGCCGAGGGACCCCATTTGGGATATTGAGATCTGACAAGTGCGGCGAGCCCGGAAACATGTGGGCAAGACATTGATGTGCCTGAAAGTATAGCGAAGCCGGGTGGATCCCTACCGTTGATCTTGTGATAATCATCTAATGGTGGCCACGCTGCGAGGATGCCAACACCAGGTGCGACAACATCAGGCTACAAAAGGACCAACAATCTTCAGTCTCGAACAATATTTAAATAATCGAGCAA